GAGAGAGAGAGAGAGAGAGAGAGAGAGAGAGAGAGAGAGAGAGAGAGAGTTAAAGGGAAACAAGGAGAAACACTGTAATAAATAAACACACACAACCCAACAGGAAAAAGAAATCGGAATAAACATGTGGACAATGAAGAATTACTACACACTATACCTGTAGAGAAAATCCCTAAGTGTGATATGGTGAGGAAGTGCAAACACAGAGAAGTCCTGTTTTCCTTGCTTCTCTGAGCAGGCTCTTCTGTGACCCAGATCTCTAAGTGCTCTCAGCGCCCCCTGCTGGTCCTGTGTTCCCCACAGAGGTGTTTTTGTCTGAGCTCACAGTAGCATTCACTCACTGTGTCTCTTGCACAGTAATACATGGCTGTGTCCTCAGACTTCAGACTGCTCATTTCCAGGTACAGAGTGTTCTTGGCATTGTCTCTGGAGACTGTGAATCGGCCCTTCATAGCGTCAGTATACCAGGTGCTACCACCACCGCTATTAATGGTTGAGACCCACTCCAATCCCTTCCCAGGAGCCTGGCGGAGCCAGCTCATCCAGTAGCTACTGAAGGTGAATCCAGAGGCCGCACAGGAGAGTTTCAGGGACTTTCCAGGCTGCACTAAGCCTCCCCCAGACTCCAGCAATTGCACCTCACACTGGACACCTGTAAACACAATGAATTCTGGTTAGAAAACTGTCACAAAAGACTTTTTTCTTCTCTTTCTCGTGTCCACACAAAACACAGTATCTTATCTATATGAATTACCTTTTAAAATAAGGACAGAGAAAACCAGTATAAGCCCTAAGTCCATGGAGAGTGGCCTGTGTTCAGTGCTGACTGGGAGGATTTGAGAATCCAAGACTGGTCTCCTCTGCCCGAGCTGCAGAGTCTGGGCAGGCCTAGATTTTATGGGTAGAAAGAAGACTTATTTGCATATCTTCCTGCTATAGCAGGCTCTGTAATTGGACCTGGGCAGAAGACAGTACTCAGTGCAGATATAATTCCTCATACACACAGATGACAGTTGTAGAAATTAAAGCATTAACATAGAACTGTGTACACATTTCCTTCTTAGGAATTCACCACACTGTACTTAGTGGATTTTTCACCTTATGCATAGAAAATGTTGTGTTTCCACACTGTCATGTCTCTGTAGGATCAATGTGCAATTGAAAAGTTCCACACTTCTGTGTTTGTAGATGTTATCCTTGTCTCTTCCTTTGTCTCTGCTTAGACATGGCTTCTTCCTGAGGTGGATCTTGAGTAGTATCACACCTACCATGAAGTAAAACTCCTTCTCTGTGACAGGAACACTTGAGATTTTTCTAAATTTTCCTCAGTTCTGAGAAATGCTGTCCTATGGCCCCAAGAAGTTTGCAAATGAAACATCTTTGTGATAGTCTATCTTCCTATTAGCAATTGCTGTGGAGATATATTTATATTTGCAGCACTTAATTCTTGCATCCTGAATTTTTCCCTAAGATCACTTCCTATTCCCCACTGTGCCTTTTTTTCCTCAAATTGAAAGCAGGTACACATGGCTGTCTTCTATGTGTCTTAGGTCAGTTTTTGTTTCTGCATATTTATATAGTCAGCATAATGGGGAAACTTAATAAATTTTTATAACAAAACACAGAACTTTGGCATCAGTTTGGCATTGTCAGAAGACTCTGTTTTTATTTTCCCAAATTCTCATGCTTTCTACCCATTCATCCCCTTTCTCTCACTACACCCAACATTTCATTTCAAAACTTCTGTCTCACCCTGTGTCATTTCCCTCTTGTCCGTCACTTAAGATATCTTTTCCTTTCTTGACTTCTATTCTAGTTCTGAGCCTACAAAATAGAAGTCAGAACACCACATACACAGAGTCTCAAATACACAACCTGGATTTTCTATAAGGCAGAGACTGCCCTTCCTAATCTTCAATATATTGTGTGATATAAGATTTCCAGATTCATTCTAGTTCCTCCAAGGATCATAGAACAGTAATGAAGAAGAGAAAGGAAGAATGTAAAGAGTGGAACACAGGGAGGGGTGCTGTGAAATGCTGTCTTCTGGACATGCCATGAATATTACAATCATGGACTCATAATGACTGATGTCTGTATAATCCTAACTAGAGCCAAGCCCGACAAAACCCTGGTATAGATAGGGCTGATAATTCCTTGGCCCTACTTCTTACTGAGGAGCAGATGGAAATGTATTTTCCTAGACAAGGGTTATAGTCCCTCTTTTGTGAGGGTATGGTCACTGGTATGTTTCCAATATTGCAGTCCATGGGTTCACACACATGTGCAAATGGGCAGCACTAACTGTACTTAAATAAGTATAAGGTTGCTAGAGCCCCGTGTTTACCAGATTTAGGAGGAGATGGATGAAATAATATTATACGTAGAGATACTAAAGAATAAAGGAAATAATATAAACTATCTAACTGAGGCTCAAAACAATAAATTCAGAAAGCAAATGATTTAGGAACACTGGTAAATATCAAATAACTTGGTAGGCAACTTTATCTGGAACTATCTTACCATCCAACTAAGAGTTGGTGGAGTTCTTCACTTATTTTATTTTTCTTTAATTTATTAGATTTTTTTGAAAACATACCAATCGAAGTTCCACTCCCTCCCCTTCTCCTATCCCCTCCACACATCCTCCCCCCCTACCACCATATATACCTCAGAGAGGGTAAGGCACATTGTCTTATGGAAGGTCCAAGGCCCTCCCTACCATATCTAGGCTGAGCAAGGTATACATACAAAGACAATAGGATCCCAAAAAGCTAGTACAAACAGTAGGGATAATCTATGTGCCATGCCAGTGTTCCGTCAGTCTGCCCCAGCCATGACAATGTCATTCTCATTCAGAGGAACTGGTTTGGTCCTATTTTTGTTCCTTCCCAGTTCAGCTGGTGTTGGTAAACTGCCATTAGCTCAGGAAAACTCCTTCAGTGGGTTAACCCACCATAGTCTTAACCTCCTTGCTCATATTCCCATTCCTTTCACTCTTCAACTAGACTTTGGGGATCAGTCCAGTGCTCCAATGTAGGTCTCTGCGCCTGCCTCCATCAGTTGCTGCTCAATGGTCATATTTAAGAAAATCATCAGTCTGACTACAGGGCAAGTCAAGTTCAGAATTTGACTTGAACTCTCCTCTATTGTTCAGGCTCCTATGGGGGTCATTCTTTTTGACTCCTTGACATTTCTCTAGATTTAGGTTTCTGTTAACCCTATAATGGCTCCTTCAATCAAGATCTCTTTCCTTGCTCTCATCTTTGTCCTTCCTCCATCTCAACTGTCCCATTCCTGCAAGTTCTCCTCTACCCTCCACCTCTACCCTCCTCTTCTCCTCCTACCCTCCCCTCTTAATCCCCCCATGCTCCCATCCCTAACAGTCAATCCTGATCATTTCCAATTTTCATGTGGGTCTCATATATTTTACTTGGGTCTCACCTTATTTCTTAGCTTCTCTTTGATTATGAACTGTAGGCTGAATGTCCTTTTTTTATACTTAGTATTCACTCATGAGTGAGTACATACCATATTCATCTTTTTTGAATCTGGGTTACCTCACTCAGTATCGTGTTTTCTAAATTTATCCATTTGCATTTTTAAAATTCAAAATGCCATTGATTTTCTACCCCTGAATAGTATTCTAATGTGTAAACATGCCACATATTCTTTATCCATTCTAAGGCTGACGTGCATTTAAGTTGTTTTCAGGTTCTGTCTATTACAAATAATGCTGCTATAAACATAGTTGAACAAATGACTTTGTAGTACAATTGATCACCTTTTGGGTATATGACCAAAAGTGGTATTGCTGTATTCTGAGTTAAGTTGATTCCCAATTCTCAGAGAAACCACCATACTGATTTCCCAAGTGGTTTTATAGGTTTGCATTTCTCTCAGCAATGGATGAATGTTTCCCTACTGCACATCCTCTCCAGCATAAGCTATCATTAGTGTTTTTGACCTTAGTCATTCTGACGGGTGTAAGACTGTATCTCGGAAATGTTTTGATTTGCATTTTCCTGATAGCTAAGGATGTTGAACATTCCCTTAAATATCTTTTGGCCATTTGAGATTCTTCTGGTGAAAATTCTCTGTTCAATTCAGTACCCCATTTTTAATTGTGTTACTTTGAATTTTAATGTCTTATTTCTTGAGTTGTTTATGTATTTTGAAGATTATCCCTTTGTCTTAAGTGGGGATGGTGGAGATCTTTTCCCATCCACTAGGCTATCTTTTTGTCTTATGGACTGTGCCCTTTGATTTAAAGAGGCTTCTCATTTTCAGGAAATTTATTTGCAGGAAATCATGTACATGATTTGTAAAATATCTTTTCAAATTTATTTAGTTGTGACTATACTCTAAGGTGACATTATACCATAATCATTCAGAATTAGGGGAAACACATATCAATCCTGTCTATACTTTCAGGCCTCATGCTGCAAATGCAGTTATTCTGGTGCCATCTATGTATCTCCTTTTCTACAAATTATCTAGAACAAATCAGAGGAAAAACTGAAGAGAAGAGAATTTCAAGGGCATCTCTATTAGCAACTGCTACTCTTTTTTCTACACCATAGGTAAAAGTTTGCCTGTGCCTATTTGTTCAATAATATATTAACCTTAATGTGGATATGAGAAGTCTTTTAATTAATATTGGTAGGCTCTCCATAAAATGTTCTGGATGTTCTCATTCAAAAGTTAAA